GAATTTTGTACCTCTTTGATTACAAAATTTACACTTTCTTATATAATAATATTAATCAAGAATGTGTTGGGAAAATGATAGAAAGGAAGAATAGAAAATGAGGTTGTGAAAGAAGAAAGATAGAAAGTAAGAACACTAGGAAAAATGAAAAGGAAACCAGGTGAAAGGAAAAAGTCAATATATATATATATATATATATATATATATATATATATATATATGTAGAGAGAAAGAGTAGGGATGAAGACAAAAGAACGACATTAAATGACAGGCTTATTCATCAAATAACAAGAGACAAAGATTGAAAAACAGGTGGGGTGGGAAGAAGTAAAAATATGTGATACATTGAAATCTTAGAGACAGAGCAAAAGAAAGATAAAAGAGAGGATGCAGTGTAAAATATCTGTATATTTCTTATTACTTTTTTAGTTGTGAAACTAATCATTATAATATTTAAATCAAAATCATGGATAGGCAATGAAGATTGAAATGTATAAGGGAAAGAATGAAAAGATACAGTTAAAGTGTAAGAGATAAGCAGAGTTATGAGATAATGGATCATCTTTTTTGTCAACACACATGGAATTTCCACAGGTCCAGAACATAAACATTTATTTGATGAAAGTAACTCTGAAGGACATATTTGAAAGCAATCAATATTCACTTTACTAAGAAGTGAATGTGATGTTAATATTTTGATATTTTTCCCTTGACAATCAGGGAAATAAACATTAAATTGCTTTTACTCAAATATCAATTATTGCTGAGGATGTTTTTAGAATTGCTTTCATCCTTTATGCTTTCAAATTGATAAATAATGTATATGGGTGGGGCAAATGAATGACAAGACAGAAAACCATGTAGTGACATGTTTTGTTTTGAAAAAAATAATGGTTTTATTGATGGAATCAATATTATATATAAAAATAGACAAAAAAGTGGAAGAGAAAAATAATAAACACCAGTTAAAATTTTCATTGAAACTTTAAAGCTATAGAGACAGTTAACATTTAAATTTTAATCCCGATGTATTTAAATTTAAAACTTATCCAATCTCATTCAGTTTCTTATCACTTATATCTTTATCATTATTGTTTTTTTTTTAATTATCCTGAATTGTGTCAATAATAATTTTGTGAGGAAAACATATATGTTGAATGATGCTGGACATAAATTTTCTCTAAAGGATTCTGAAATTTGTGCACTTTCAATACACTTTTGTCTTAATAAATTTCTCATTCTTTTAATCAGAATCACTTTCTTTAATTTGAACTTATAGTCAGATCTATCATGATGAATGACTAATGTATTGATTGTATTGTTTTGTAAAAAATCAATCTAATATTCATAACTTTTATTTAAATTCCTAGATGTCTCACCGGTCTATTTTGTATACTTCTGCTTGTTGGTTTAATGTTGTTCTGTTTAATATTGTTATTGTTTTGCATCAATTAAATCCCTTATTGTTTTTGAAGTTGTTATGACAAATTTTATATTAAGATTGGATAAATTATTTTCACTTGTGGTTGTTATTGAATGGCAGAGAGTATTATCTGCTTAGTTTTATCAAAGTTTTGTCATTTTCTTTTTTGATTTTTGTGAATTTTGTATGCTTTCCTCTTTACATTATAATACTAGCTTAAAATCTACACTCTGCATGGACTTTTAAGCTAACTCCTGTGGAGGGCTAATTGGGCCTTTGAATTAAAGGGACCTCTGAACTAAAGGAACCTGTGGTCCGGATTGAAAAATAGCAATAATAACTTTGAATTCCTCAAGTCACTTCATGGAACTTCAAAACCTCACTTTAACTCTGATTCAGGCTAAAAGTCCAATTCTGTCCAAAAGATTGATTTGGGCCAAGTTCAGTTTGTGCCAAAATTTCAATTATGGGCAAAAAATTGTATTTTTCAAATCACAAACTCTGCAGAATTTCAAAATCTCACATCACAAACCCTCTCATTTTAACTCTGATTCTTTGGCATTTTGAAGAAACAAAATTGATTTTTTCAATTCACAAAGTTTGGGAGATATTTTAAACTGAATTTAAAACAAATTTTTAAATTCGCAAAGTTTTTGTGTTACTTTAAACTCAATATAAATTAAAAACTTTTAAAATTTGAATTTTTAACTGTTCCCTACTGATCTGGATACAAATCCCAATACTGGATGTTCAAACACCAGATAAATGGCAAATTTTCAATCTTGGGATCATCCTAATTCCAGAAAGGTATAATATATCTATGTAGAGCAAGTGTGCCCAAGTTAGTTGGGTTTCAGACATGGACAAATAGATAAAATTTGCCATTTATTTATTTAGATAGACAAAATAACTCCGATACTTTTGGAGTTTAAAAGTATTTTCAATGTATTTCTATTCATCCTGTTAATATTAAAAAACTTATAAATTCTATAATTATTCTGGATTTGATTTTGTTGCTTTGATGTAACTAAAAGTTTATAAGATCATTTTTGTTAGTCGCTTTTCAGTAGACATTTAGATTTAGATCATTATCAGTGTGCTTTAATGTGATATCAAGAAATATATTGTTTGTTTCTGTTTAATAAGTAAATTTGATTCCATGTTTGATGTTATTTAGTATATTTACAAGATCAAATCCTATTGTTCTGCAGAGATATATCAACAAAGTATCATAGATATATCAGAAATATGTTGATATGTTAGGTAAAATGTTTTGGAAAGAACACACTTTTAAAAATTCTGAAAAATGACATGCTAATACATCACTAAGAGGTGATTCCATTGGTAGCCTAAAGTGTGTATATAGGTGTGTGTATAAATATAATATATATAATATATATATAATGAACAGTATAACTTTTTCTGTATGCTTTGGAATACCTGACCTGTGGGTAAGTAGGCAAGTGATATATCCAAGATGCTTGAAAAGTATGGTAAAATTAACTTACAAGTGAGCAGAGCACAAAGATAGTACACTGATCCAAGGCACAAGGCCAGGAAGTGACATTTTGATTTTTGGCAGAGCACACAGATACTACAGTGATCTGAGATATAAGGCCAGGAAGTGACATTTTGATCTTTGGTAGAGTACACTGATCCTAAGCATAAGGCTAGAGAATGACATTTTGATCATAAGCAGTGTACACAGATACTACACTAATCCTAAACATAAGTCTAGAGAATGAGATTTTGATCCTCAGCAGAATGCACAGATACTTCATTGATCTTAGACTCAAGACTCAAAAATGACCCTTTGATTTTCAACAGTGTCCATAGTTACTACATTGATCCTAGGTAAAAGGCTTAAGGATGATATTTTGATCCTAAGCAGAGAGCTATGGAACAACACTGTGATTCTAGACGGATCCATACTTTATCCATACTTTAAAAAAATTCCACTATTTTTGATGGGTAGTATGATAATATAGGTAATAGTCAAGCACCATTCTACAGTCATAAGCTTAATTGCTTTCTGCACTTCAGACATGTTATCCTATCAAACTAACAACAATCTGCTGGTGTAGAGCAACAAACAAACTTTATGGTCACAACAAAAATCAATTAACAACAACATTTATAATAAGAATCTGCATTTTTGGATATATTGTTCATTGAATTAAGAGAAAAGTCATTTTGCATCATACAATTCCATCACTCATTGTCTCTATGTAAACAGTTCAGAATTCTCTTGAGATTTGTGCCTGCAAGTAGCACAATGTCGGGCTTGAGATTGGTGTGATCGGGTGGGAGTATGTTGTAAATGTTGAAGGTGTGTGTGTGTGTGTGTGTGTGTGTGTGTGTGTGTGTGTGTGTGTGTGTGTTCAATTGCACTAATCAATAAAACACAAATACCAAGTATTGATTAGTGCTACTGGTTCAATAATTTCACCAAACATTTCAGCTTTTCCAATGATGTCAACCTTGCTGCAAATGTTATCTCTGCAAGTTCAAGTTTTGGGACTTTTTCTGTCACAAATTCTTTTGTGCCAGATGAAGTGGCAGGAAAATATTTCCTTCTTCAATGTAGATCTCTTTTTCTAGCTTTTGAGGGTCAAGTTAATTTCTGACCAGAGTAATGGGGAGATGCAGTTCTATCATTGGTCAGTGATTTTTGTTTAATTAAATGATGTATAATATAACTGTTTTCAAAAGAAGAATAAAAGTAATCCTGAAAAATCTGTAATTAATAATTACTTAAACAATTCCAAAAAGTGAACCTGAATTTTGGCAATATTTTTTGTTTACATTATCTTCATTTATAGGAATCTTCATTTTCTTTCTTTCTTTCTTTTTTTTTTGCTATAATATTAACTGTTTTCTTTCAAAGTTAGTTTTATCTGATCCAGACTATCTTTAGTCACTTTTACAATTAACATTGCATTTTGGATGAGCGTTTTTGGTTTTTTGGTTATTTTACCATGTAGACATTTTGCATATATTTTTATATGATTTTATTGCTTACTAATGTGAGATTTTATTATGCAAGCCAATGTTTTCACAATAAAATTAGTATTAACCAACTAATGCCAGAAAAATGTTCCGGATAGACTTATATTGATATGTGCAATAATAGATCCTCTAGATTTCAGCTTATAATAGCTATCCTTGTTAAAAATGTTGATAATAACTTCTTTTGTGGGCATCAGTTTTTATTACATAAACTAAATACAATATAAGGTTTTATTTAGAAATATTGATTGATCGATTTGTTTTTATGACTTATCAACGCTTTAAAGGTTAATTAAAGCCAAAAGCTATTTTTAGATTGTAAGAACAATTCCTTTTTTTTTTTTTTTGCTAGTGCATATTCTACTGAAACTTTTTGGGAGATAGTAATGATTTTCAGATACAGGTTCTACTACTGAATCCATAGCTGTGGAGTGGAAAGAGCTGGATTCCTTACTTTCCCAGGTGTATTTGCACGTAAGTGGATGTAACAGATCCAGTTGGAATTTAAACTCGGCTCTCTGATTTCCCATTCCAAGCCATTGTCCATGATACCACCTACACTTCCAAGCTTACAGCATCTGGTATTCCCAAGTGGTTACCCATCTAGGTACTAACCAAGGTTGATCTTGCTTAACCAGTGATCAAACAAGAACTGGTGTTTCAATGTGATATGGCCATAAGCCTTATTTAGAAATAAGTTTGAGAGATATGGTGGACTCTCCTGTCGTATTTGATGAATGAGGGTCAAGCAGCTAGGAACAGACAGCCAGACACCAGCACACATGATTTGATTATAGTGGTGAAGACTTTGTGCAAAACCAACCAGGCTTTATGAAGGGTTGAATACAGAGATCTGGTGCACTATGTACCACAAGGTCCCCAAACAACCCTCCACAGGTTTTGAATTCAGAGTTGTCCTTCTCCTAGACCAGTTGCCATCCAAGGTTATAGAACCCAGTCTGTCCTGCTATTTACCCATAGCTGGAGGAAGAAGAAGAGGATTCACACCTTTCCCAAGGGTATTGGCACGTAAGTGAATGTAATGGATTCGACTGGAATTCAACCTCAGCTCTCTGATTCCTCAATACAAGCCACTATCCACTATTCCACTGTGCCTCTATTGAAAGATATATCAACCAGAGTAATAATTAATACAATATTGCACATACATGAATAAATTAGTCTTTTATTATATTACATGTTAATATGGACTCCTCGACATTTTATAACTTTCTTCAATCTTTTATTCAGTCTTTTATCTATTGATAAAATTTATTTTTCTGCTGTTTTGAATTTAATATTATTTGCAACAGTTTTTATTGCTTACCAGAGATCTTTGCTTCGATATTATTTTCCATTATTATATTCATCTTTTCTTAATGATGGACCACAAGTTTTCTGTTGGATTAATCTTTGGTGAGGAATGAATGAAGGGACATTTCATTAATATGATGTCTTTGAAACCTTTTTGGGCATGATGGGCAATAGTTGACTTTGCAGAATGTGAAGGAGCTTGAATATATTCTTTAGTTTAAAGCTCCTTCACTGTAACATGTAATCACTTATAATAATTCTTTGCATTTATCTTGATACCATCATCGATGTTGAAGGGACGTATAATTATTTGTTTACAATGCTAGCCAAAAACATTACTCCACCTCCCTACACTAATTAGTGCTTGTTGAATATTTCTGTGAAGAACCTAACCTCTTATCCAGCCAATGTAGCTAGATATTCTTCAGTAAAAATCACTTTTGAGAAATCTATTTTCATGTACTTCTTCACCCGACTTACATATTTCTGTTTTGTGATGTTTACTTAAAGGTGATAGTTTAGTTGCTTCTCATATTTTCAGCCAATTTTCTTTGCATTTTACATCTTCAGTCTCTGTTTACCTTTAGTTCTCTTCCTGTTGGTCAATATACTTTGATCCTCATTAGCCATTTCATTTTTCACAAATCTGTTTTTGTATCATTCTTGAAATCTGTTTTTTTTTTTCTTCTTCTCATTTGCTAGTGCTTTCCTTTTCCTTTGTGATTTTTGTTCAGGTTTTTTTTGCAATTTCAAATATCGTACTCCCATCAGTCAATAACTTTAAAATATCTTGTCTTTCTTTTGGAGTTACATTTTTTTGTTATGAACTATGACAACTTTTATATATATTTTATATGAAATTAATATGACAAGGTTTATATATATTTTATATGAAATTAAAAAGAAATATCAATTATTTCATCTTAACATCAAGAAACTGATTCGAGAACTAGAAAGGATTATTATAAAAATAAATGGGCATAATATGTCTATATTATTCAATGAAACATGTTTGAACTATCTCTATATATGTATTGTGTATTTGGGCAGCAATCCCTCTTTTAGACATGTTTCATTAAAAACAACTAACAAGGTGCTGTGGTTAAGATTTTTATTTAATTTTTCTTATGTTCTTATAATTTTCTTTTTTTCAGGACGTAAATTATGTAGAAATTCTCCAAATGTTCTGTATGTCAGAGCATTTTCGGCTATACTTTAAGCTATTATCAAGAATGATCTGATTTTTACTTTTAACTCAATGTATGAATCATTTCATGCATGTTTTATTTTCCAAACATGGTCAGCACATTGTGGCTATGTTTATAGTAGATATTATTGAAAATTTAGACAAAATATTTCGACAGTCTCTACATAATTTACATCCTAAAAAGAAGAAAATTATCAGAACACAAAAAAAATGGAATAAAAAGATAACCATAGTATATTGTCAATTGTTTTTAATAAAACTTATATATATATATATATATATAAAGGATTATTATAAATATAAAATTTGTCACTTACTTGATTGAAGTTACCTTCAATGTCCCATTTTTGTAAACAGACCCTCCAGCAATTGCTCCTTCCACTCGTCAGGGGATAAAGAAAAAAGTATCTGTCTATTTTGAGATGAGGTATTATGAGGTATCAAACATGGCACATGGAACTAGAACAGTCTACCCCAGTGAGCGAAATAAAGGGTTCAGTTCAAAATTCCAACCACCTGAAGAAGGCTGGAGCATACAATGGCTGAAACATTGTGATAAATATGGCGACAAAGATGAAGAAAAAAAGAAGTTGAAAATGCAACTGGAGTCTTTAAGAATATTTATTTTTATTTTGCAGTAACTACTTTACCAGTTTCACAGTTCTATAATTTTCAAAAGTTAAATTCAGATTGAGAGACATGTATATATACCATGATATATATATATATATATATATATATATATATATATATATATATATATATATATATATGGTGAACAATTCTTGAGTTGCGTAATAAAACCTCACACAGCCAAATAAGCTATGGTAAATATTTCTAAAAAAAACAGATAATAATGCCAAATTTATTGTGAAAATATTAAAACATTTGACATTGATAAATAGGATTTTCAATATTTATTGTGAAAAATTTCCCATAGAAATTGATTGCAAATGGATTGTATATTAGAGAAATGGTTTCACTCAAGAATTTAATTGAAAGTGATTTACTTAAGAAACGCAGTTAGATGGATTTATGTAGAAATAACTTGGAATTTCTTGTAAATAAACTATCAAATTATTATATTGTAATTGATAGACTTCAGCTATAGAGAGGAACTTTTATGAAAAATGAAAACATTGTTCTCTCTCAATAAGTTTTTTCTGAGATTTATTCATAATTAATCTGTTTCTATCTGAATGATGAATGTCATCTTTACTTGAGAAATTTGCTTACTAATAATTTTTCTTTTATTATTATTCTTATAATTTTCTTTGAAAAAATCACAAAATTTATAAAGGATGTGCATAAAACTTCCTGCACTCTCAAACTCAGTCTCAAGTCACATACCACAGATCCATTAATCATATTAGCCAGATGGCAAAACTCAGTCTATGCCATTCAAACCCAAATTTTCATCTCTCTTGGATAAAGTCAGATATATTTTCATTTTTCTTTTGTTTTTTATCATCAGTGACTATAGAATCATTTTAGAATTTTAGAGTTGAACAACAAAAACAGTAAGGCAGGAAGTTTTTTTTTTAGAATATTTTCCTTTCATTATATTCTTGAAAATTAAGACTTATATCAAGTTTATTGAAATTATTGCAGATCAGCGACTCTTTAAGACAAATATATACAACAATTTAGAAAACTTTTATTCTGATGTTTCATCAATTAAATGTTATCAGAAAAACAGATTTTACTTCAATAAAACCGATATTAACAAGACAAAATGTGATTCACATTAAGCATACAAATGCTTAATTTTTTACTTTAAATTAGATTTGACTAATTTCTGTTCAATTATTTTTTTATATATATTCATTTGTTTTAAGGTTTTCATCAGCTATATGGTTTTAGCACCAGTTTAGTAAAAACTGGTAATAAAGTAACTAGGAACAATAGTTTGAGATAATACGAGAATATTAGCCTGGTTTATATTCACCACGGGTAATTTGTATCACTTTCAATGCATCTTTGTCTCAGTAAATTATATTCATTTTTTATTAAAATGGTATTTTCCAGGTCAAACTTGTGATGACAAAAGTTTCAGTGACACACAAGGGCATTGAGTGCATTGTTTGATTTGAAATCCCTTTTATGTTTGTATATTCTGTTTGTTTTTAATTTTCAAAAAGTTTTATTGATGTATTTTTAGAGATCAGTGTTTACATTCTATTTGGTAGACTCCTACTTCTGATGTGAAGTTAGCTTTCTGTTTTACACTGATTAAATTTTTAAACAATTTTTGGTGTTGTTGTTGCCTTGTTAAGGCCTGAAATAAAGACACAAAGAGAGGAATTGAGTTAAACAAATATATTAACAGGAACAGTAATACAAAACATATACAAACGAGAGTGTTACAGCAAGAATGTTCGGTCTGTCAGAGCTGACTGCTGGAAACTTCCCTCTCCAAAAGGCAGTACCTGCTCCTATTTATAGCTGGGAGAGTCCATGCGTGTGTGGGTTAATTGCCATAGAAGTTTTTGTAATAAATAATTTTTATATTGAGAATAGCTAAATTTTTCTCAAGTTCAGTAGTTTGTAGATAATATAATATGCCTAGTTTTGTGTTTATATATTCTTCCCTTTTTTTTGTTTTGTTGATTCTGTATGCTTTTTGTTTGGCATTATATATGAAATAAGTGAAGTAGTGGTGTGTTTTAATAACATCTCCAATGTATTTCTCTTCATCAGGCAGATGATATTCAGGGATGCAAATTCTCTATTATTCAAATATGTGAATTTCTTGATGTTCTTCTTCTAAGTTGTCTGTCACATTTTCACATGTCCTGCAATTTACATTGGAGTTTTTGGGGTGTTAGTAGGATGTAAAATAATATGAACAAAAGTGGAGATGATAAAACAGAATCAAAAAGCTATTCAACTACATGTCTTCCCCCTTAATGTAGGCATCCTCAGACTGAATCTTACGAAACAATACTTACCTCATGTATGTATTTTGATGTATGTTTTTATGAATCAAGATTGAAAGATATTTAATAAATATTTTCAGCAAAACAAAAACAGATGAGAGGAAGACAACACTGTTTAATTTTTGACTGAAGAAATTGCATAAAGGTTATAAGAACTTTGATGAAGATGTTGGTTCTAGTCTTATTTACAGTTTATATTTTGCTTTGATTTATTAAGGCA